GGTAGAAATTATGCTTTAAAAATGTCACACCAATCAAGTTCTGTTGTGTTGCTTCTTCTGACTCACTGTGAGTTGAACATCTTTTAAAATTTCAGTCCAAAAGATCTGGTGTTCCAAGGGTTTACTGTTTTTAAAGAGGCCATATTCAGCTTTTTGGGGTTTCCCCCCCCTTTATTGAGTTATATACCTTTTTTTTGTGCATGTAACAGGTTTGCAAAGTGAAAAAGCCCAAAGTCCACCCCAAAGGGAGTTCCCATCTCCCACAGAAAACTCTTCTCTGAACTGCCTGAAAACAGCTTGTTTGTAATCCAGCCTTTTCTTCCACTTTGCTGTAACGTCACAGCGAAATACGCGTCATAATGCTTGCCTAACACTGGTGGAAAAACACTCTGAGCTGCAGCACACAGTGACAAGACGTCCGCCTGCTGTCTCTCCTCTCCCTTCCAAACATTAGCTACCCGCCAGGCAGTCAATGGACATAAAGTTGTTACTGTAATGTAGAGACAGAGCACAGTTAAAACTTTATGGATGAAAGATACATTTGCTACATATAGAACTGATCCGATGCCGTGTACACCGGCTTCTCATGACCCACCCTACACTGCTTCTGATTGGCTAGTAGTCCATACATAGGAACTGTGATGTGCAACTCCCAATAAAGATTTTATACAAGTAAGATGCCTGACTCTGTAGCTAAAATGAAGCATTCAACACACAGTGTGAAAAGAGGAGCTGCAGCAATGTGCAGTATGACAAAAAATATGGTGTTCTTTGAAAATGAAACCATGTAAACCTGTTCTGGCACAACCCCTAAATAAGACTTTGAACCTGAAAGTGAGCATAATATGACCCCCTTAAGGTAATGTAGGCAGGAATTGTTGGCATTTGAGATGAATACTAGTCATGGTCAAAGGGGAGAAATTTTGAGATAGAATCTTATACCGCTGCTTTCAATCAGTGTGATATTTAGAGAAATTCAATGCAATGACTTGATGGAAATAAATTGTCATTGTGGGTTATCTTGATTTATAGGCATTTACAGAATACAGTAGGTTCACTTTACCTGTCAAAGTTAAACACAGTTAAGTTGGCCTGTTAGAAAGCATCATGGAATGTTTGAGTATCTCCAAAATGTGAGTATGAGAAAACTTCATAATAATGACATGCAGCATAGCAAGAATTTATGTCAGCATTTAGTACATATGTTTACAGGTAAAAAAAGAAGACTCATGTTATTGGCAGGGAACAGAGTTCATGAATATTAACAATAGCTGTGCTCCTTACAAAACTCCCCCTGCATCACTTTGCTTGTCAGCTAGCATTAGCTCCAAAATTGTCTCTGTGAAAATGGGTCTGACGCTTCTGTCTGACGGGAAAGATGGGAAGGAAGGGTGAGGTGAGCTGAAAAGAGGACTGATAGGTTAGATTTTTTGGCCAGCGTCTCAGAATAAATGAAGAATGATTAGTTTCATTGCCAGAACGTGTTCCTTTGTGAGTATTTTAGGCCCAGGGACCTGGCTGCCCCTAACTGATGCAGGATGTTTGAGCGCTTATCCTTGCCCCTAGCTGTTTTGCACAATCCTTTAATTTGAAAGAAGTTACAGACCAAACCACATACACTAGATGCTATAGTTGCACAGTGTTTATCATATTGTACTGACTGCTGTGGCTCAGGTGGGAGACTGAGTCACCCATTAATCTCCTGTCCACATGTCTTGTCCTTGAGAAAGACCCTTAACCCCAAATTGATCCAAATGGCCAGCGCCTTGCATGACAGGTCTGCCGCCATCAATGTGTGTATGCAGGGGTGAATGAGAACCTTTAGAAAATAATAATGAAAATAATTTATAGCATCATAGATGGCAGTGTTGGCCGGTTGGTCGGTCAGTCCACCACTATGGTCTAAACTAAAATATCTTAATAACTATTGGATAGATCGCCATGAAATTTTTCCAAGGATGAACCCTAAATACTCTGATGGCCTTGTCTTCATGCCACCATCATGAGGTTGAAATGTGTGGTTCAGAGTGAAATGTCTACGCAGCTGAAATGTGATATAGACATTAATATCTGGATCAAATGTTAGCAAACTTTTCATCTAGCGCCATCATCAAGTTCACATTTTTTATTTGTCCAGTACTTGGGTTTAAGACCAAATACCTGCAAAACCGATTACATTGTATCTCTATGTTTTGACAATTTTCTGTGCATTACTTTCCCACTATTTTACTGTTTATATATCTACTCTCTTGTTAGTCTTAGTTAGTTTGTCATTGACCTATGACCAGTGTTGCTCAGTAATGCGTTACTGTAATAATATTACTTTTCCCAGTAACTGGTAGTGTAACTAATTACTTTTCTAAAACAGTAATATTATTACAGTTTTAATCCAAGTAACGCTGCGTTACTCGTTACTGAACGCACCATCCTTGACGTGAATCCACAACTGTGTGGCAGCTCAGCGGCACCGGACTTTGTTGTTCATGTCAGCTGATAGCTAAAAACTAAAGGAAGAATGGAGAACGAGGAAGAGACACGTTCTTTCCACAGCTGTAAGTAGCTGCTGCCATTATTGTGTCACACATTGTCGTCTAGTGTAAACTCTGTGCGACCAGCAAAAAGCTTTCAATCACGAACATTTCCACACCTGATTTATTGAAGCATCTGCTGAAGTGGCACAGCAACGCGAAACTTACAGTTAGAATCTCCAGCCGCAACTGCCACTGATGCTTGGACTCGTCGGGAGAGAGTGGCGTTAACGTAACGTTTTGTAACTATTGAATACTGCTTATAAATAGGCTACAGAAAAACAGCTGTTCAAAAGTTGGGATTTACTTGCTTTATTTTTTTATTTCAGCCGGTGGTGTTAAGAAACGATAGGACTAGGCTATATGCTTTCTAAAAACCACACTCCTTGCCGCTGTTATGAATATGACATTAGTTAAAAATTCGGAAGAGACTGCTTTGTTTGGGGGTGAAGGGAGTGGTAGAGAAAGCAGTGTTTCCCATAATTAGCCTATAATTTAGATAATTATCAACGCTGACCGCCACTTATTTATTTTCAAATTTTTTTAGTAGGCATTTAGGTATTTAAAATCATATTTGTTTGAGGAGCTGTATTGAGGAGCATATATTCCTGAAGCTCCTCCTCTCGCTCGCTCCCTCTCTTGTGAACACCGCTGCACAAACCTGTCCAAAGTTAGAATACCCCCCCCCCCCCTTTATTACCCAGTAATAAGTAAAGTAATAATATTACTTTTTTTAGGAGTAATAAGTAACTAGTAATATATTTCAATTTCTAAGTAACTTGCCCAAGACTGCTTATGGCTACACTAACCATGCATTTCACAGTTTAATTGATTTGACTGATAGATCTATTAAGCTCTATACTTATTCTGAATTTGCAGAAGGCTAGCCTAGGTAAGTTTGAAGCAAGGGCCTTCTCCATTTGTAGTCATCTCACTGTCTCATATTATGTACACAGTGTCACCTTCAAAATGTTGTGTAGTTATGAATCCCCAGCTTCAGCCATATGCCCAGCTTCCACAGTTTGGATGTACAACCTGAGCTATGACCCTGAACTTGGCCTTATACCCATCTTGTCAGTTCACTGGCTTGGAAAACATCTCCTCCTTTGATAACTGTTTATTGAGGTCAGAAAGAGAGAGAGAGAGACAGAGGAAGAGAGACAGACAGAGAGAGATCCCACACTACGAAACACCAGATTGGCCTTGTCTGGCTCCCAGACAAGCTTTTCAAACTCTTCTTTCACTCCTCTCCCTAAGACATGCTTTCTTCTCTCCCTTTCTTCTCTCCCTCTAATCCGTCCTTCTGCCTATTTAGAGGTGAACAGCGCAGCGTGAAAGAGAGAGAAAGTGTTTTTTGTGTGCTTGACGGGTAACCCTCGCCCTTTTGAAAAGGCAAACAGCGAAAAGCTGCCATTAAGACTGGAATGAAGGGATCTTAAGACAACCGCCTTTTCTGCCACTTTATTAGCATTGTAGAGGCTAGTGCAGCATTGGCCCTCTTTCACCGCTCTCTTTCTCCGTCACTTCTCTGTCGATGTTTCATTCCATGAACCAGGCATCCAAATGATAGAAAGAAAAAGAGGCAAGCAAATTAATGGGGTTGCTAGGGGTTAGCTTGGCTACTGTTTTAGCCGTAATTTAACAGGATTTTCCTTGCACTGCTGCTGAGGTGTTTGTTGTTATTTTTGTGCAGGTTACCACCTCTTTCCCAGGCATACGGAGATTCAAAACAAAAATAAAACAAATGTTTGGATAACTGGAAGAGGAGGGGAGATCAGAGGTTGTAGACCTGCGAATTTCCGTACTGTGGGGTTGGGGGTGAGGGGGAGCAGCTGAAAGGAAAAGCAGAGGAAATATGAAAGTTCAAAACATAACAAACAAGCATAATGTCTGGACGGAGATTGGGGAGTACAGGGGCTAAGGTGGAAAGAGTCTGATGAGGTGTGAAGTATGACTGAGGTATGAGTGTGTGTGTGTGTGTGAGTGTGTGTGTGTGAGTGTGAGAGTGAGAGTTAAGTATGTGCCCAAACAATACTGCTGTCACTTTCTTTTGTTGAGGAATGTAGTCAATAGAACTTGTTAGACCCAAAAGTCGTAAGGAATCAGAAACCTTTCTGTTCACAATGCAATTATGGTCAGCAGTTTAAGTCCACTGTTATAAGTTTGCTAACTCACACCTACCAGACCACTCCTTTTAAAAATCCTGCTTTTCTCCCTCTTATTCTTATGTCTCACTTGTGCCACCTACATTAGTCACTACTGTGTCTATTTGCAAATGACTGAGAGCTATAGCACCTCTCACAGCCTAATAGTGTGGACTCAGGAAGCGAACTGGCCTTATCGGGGGCAGACACACAAAGCTGTCCTGGCTGTGGGATGGCGAGGTATGCGTAAGTGCATGTGTGTGGAGGGGGGGGTGGCGGTGGGAGGCACTTCCTCCCATTCTTCTGCTGTTGAAGAGTTCCCATGAGCGCCCCTGCCAGGAGCTGCAGTGTGGCCTGAGCAGGCCAAGCCAGCGCCAGTCTCGCCTACATGACGCCGCCAAACACTCACACCACACACAGCTGATCTCAGGAGCTACTGCAACTGCTGCTGTTCAGGCCACAGAGCAAGGAGCTGGGCGCCGTGTTAAGGGATAGAACAAATGCTAGAAGAGAAGACAGCAAAGAAAAGTTAAAGGAAAGAAGAAGGAAAGAAGATTGAACTGGAGTTTTAAGGGAGCGAAGAAGAGAAGTTGTGGATGAAATGACAGGTACAGGAAAAACGTGCACACAGGAATGTGCACTGATGACTGGAGTCATTACTAACAAACCTTGAATGGATAACATTGCAGTTAGACGTCAGTTGCAGAGTGACAATAATTTTGCAGAAAGGGCTGTTACCAAGAAACTTGAATCTAGACTCATTTGGGGAAAGTTGATGCAGAGTGAAGGCCAGTTTGGCTGAAAAACGTCTCCAAGGACACATTTTTTGTTATACTTGACAGTTTCGTGTCTGTTTTCTAGCAAGGAGAGACACAATATTATTACCTAGGGCCACCTCAACTGGACTGTCAGCTGGAAATCGGACATTTCGAACACTGCAAGACTTCAGCCATTCTTTGGGCAGCTGTCACTGTTGAGATGATTCATAACACACTTAAGTCCACCCAGCCATCGGAGCACAGCCCCAGGAGCACACACTCTGCTGCGCAAAGGAGGCTGTGGAGGTACTCGGGCTGCAGAGGGGCCGGCCAGGTGGAAAGTCACCGTCGCAGTGTGTGTGTGCTGGCTGCAGACTTGAACGCTGGAGGAGGAGGAGGTGGAGGTGTGATGCACACTATCCACGGGCTGTGTCACCTCTGCATTGGCTGTAGGCTGCCTCAGGTGTGTTTGTGTTACAGAGAGTGGGAAGTGGGATCTAGTGTATAGTATCAACCTGTGATTGTGAGTGACAGACTGGGAGAATGGAAAAAATTGGACAGCTACAATCACTGATCAGTTCTTTCATAATTAATTTGCAAAAGATAAATTCTATAATTTGTTAAAATACAACAATGCAGTTAGCTGCCAAACTGCCTAATACAAAAGCAGTATATAAAAATACACTTTTAGCTGCATGTCCAAGACATCCGGAGTAATTGGCTGTGTATTATATTTAAGGGATTACTTGAAAGGGGAGAACGAGCTTTCTTGAGAAGGATAGCGGGAGCTGCGGAGAGGAGAAAAAAAATTATATTATATGAACCGATGCCACTGCCACTGTGTGCACATCTGAATTGCACAATAGAACAAACAGGAAATCAAATGTGATGTGTCCGAATATAATTTAATAAACTGATACGGAACAGAATATAAACATTTGAACAGACACAACTTGAGATTATTTGTAAGACTGGGTTTACATGACAGAAATACAGCATGAAACTAGGTAACGTCTGTGTGTGTGTGTGTGCTGTTACAGTCTCTGAACATACTCACCCAGATAACATTGTCTAACCACATGTGTATATCATGTGTGGTTGGCAGATTTGTTGGGAGTTAATGTTACCTCTGCTGCACTGTTGGAAAGCAGACAAGACATATACTGTAATCATCAGATGGACACTGTCAGGGTTTCTGCTCCTAGCTTCATGCAGTCATGTCTGAATGGACGGTGTCGCACTGAGGCGTGAATGTAAAAAGGGAAAAGCTGTCACACATACATGAACACAAACTGTATAGGCTACAGGGCCTTCTTCCTTTGGGTGCATATAAGGTTTTAGTCTAGTCAGTTCTTCCACAGTCCCTTTGATTGGATTATTAATTCATCAGTAAGGCCCTGTTCATACAATTTAAATATTTAATGCACGCTGGAAACTTTCCCTATTCATTTATCTTCATTCATTTTCAGTGCCTCGTGATTGATGCAGTGAAAAGAAAATAACTCACTTAAAAGCAACACATTGATACTGATTTCTTGCATTATTGCCAGGCTACCCTCCTCTTTTCTGTTCCAGTTTTAAAATAATCCTTTTGCTTTCATTTAGAAGTGGAAAAGGGGCCATGGTACTGTTCTCCTAGGCAGACCAGAGGAGTCCAAGTGGGTAGACTGAACAATGCTTACATATTGAATTAACGCTGTAAAGACTCTGGAGTTTGGAGGAATTGGCCCAAATTAGGCAGCTCTGAGAGTTTCCTTAAAAAGGACACAACGTCACGTTTAAACGTGAAACAAATTTTGATAAAAAGAAATAGATAGATGGGGTGTGATAGACCCCCTAGATCTTTGCTTTTCAATATTTTCTTTCACATATTATATTTCTAGCTGGTCCTGTTTTTTTCATACCTCTGTTTGTCTTTGTCATCTCTTCTGTTTCTGTCCCACTACGCTCTCTCACCACTATTTAGCATCTCATATCTGTTCTATCCTCCTTTATTATCTTTTCATCTCTCGACACCTACAGTCAGTTTCTCTGTGTCTGTATATCTCATTCTTTTCTTTCTCTATTTTTGCTTGTTTTTCTTCATTTTTGTCATATAGCCAGACTGGCGGATGATTCGTTATATCTGTCAGTCTTTATACAAAAATATACACCCAGCAGAGGGCAACAATTTTAGCAATTATAACGCCGCCTGTACTTTTTGCCCCAGTAGAAAAAGTACTAGAAGCAGAAGAAGGTCAACCTCCTTATCATAAAGGTTGCCCTGTCATACTGTGTATCTTTTCCACTAATACAGTATATGGGTGCTCCCATGGTTAGTGTTTGTATATAAGAATTAAAACGACATCACTTCGCCTTTATCTAATGATGAGACCATTAATCAAGTTTCAGACCCATCAAAGAGGGTACATGCTGCGTACAAAAACAGATGAGAATCCAAAAATCTTTTGTACAGCAGGTAACTATGTAAGCTGTCTTTCTCTGGTGCATGACAAATAATTTTTTCAGCAGTGCCAGTGTGGAGGTAGACTGAAATAGAGAGAAACTGAGGGGATAAAGGGTAGAGAAATATGGTGAAGGATTTGTGGCCCCAAACAATGTGACACAGGGCACATAAAATCAGTGAACTATAAGAAACTGCGATCGTACCCGACATTTTAGGGTCATCACAAGCTTCAGGCCCCTGAATAATCACTGTATTTCTCCAAGTCGTTGAATCTTGCTCATGGGTAGACTAATTTAGCTGCATATACATGTAGTTTTGCTCTGCTAGAGACAGAAAGTGAGAGAGGGATGTGGGGTGTGGCAGTGTCTGTGTGTTTTTGGGCTCCTGGTTGTCAGCAGATGAGATGGAAAGTGAGATGTTTTGGATGGGACTTTGTTGACTTTGGCTCAGACTTTTGGACACAGGTATTTAATGTTTGACAAAGCAGGGTCAAAGAGAAAGAGAGACAATGGGAAAGAGCCATCAGCATTGTCTGTGTGTCTGTATGTGTGTGTGGATCTGGTTTATGGATTTGGCAAACTTTAAACGAATACTTCCCTGATTTGGCACTGGATCCCAGTAATGAGTATCCATCTCAGTTATTGATCAGATTCTGTGTGTATATATTATTGTATTTACTTATTAAATTAAGTAATCATTTATTTATATTAAGAAAATATTCAGACAATGGAATGTAAACTCAGAAAACAACAGTTACGGTTAATGTGTTTAAGTACACAACAGATCAGACATTACTTAATCCAAATTATTTTTTATTGATGTTTTATAATACACAGTTACTTCATTTGTAAAAACAAAATTTTAATTGGGACAAACCTGGAAAAATAAAGCTTATAAACAATCTAGATTTACTCTTCACAATTAGTATCAGTTGTACCCAAAGAAGCAGTTTTGTACTGCAGCACTATTCTTTTCATACATACATATATGTAGTTTTTCTATTGGCCTATTATAATAAGGAGTGAGTCTATGAAAAAAAAAATTTCCATATAGTTGTAGGGTGTATGTTTTTGTTTGAGAGAGACTTTGTGTTTGTTTTCGCAGCATGATATGTGTGTTGCGTACCAACTGTAGTCTACAAAGTGTGAATAAAGAGGCAATCGGTAGATTCACTATATTAAATTCTTCTCTGAATACTGGACAAAGAACTTCCTTCTTACATCTCTCAGAGTTGTTTTTCCTACTAACTCAGCTAATTGGGTTCACTGGGAAACTGCTGTCAAGACAGTTTTAATAGGAAGTAGAAGCAGAATACAAATCTACTTAATCATCCAGTAGGAAGGAAGTTGATTATTTTGCTGGGGGGGAGGGTGCTGGTCCTGTCTTCCTATCTTCCTATCACAAAAGGACTGACTCTGTGTGTGTGTTCTGCAGGTGACCATCCTTCGAGGAAAGGATGGATACGGCTTCACCATCTGCTCGGATTCCCCTGTGAGGGTGCAGGCTGTTGATCCAGGCAAGTTTTGCATGTGCATGTCAGTGTCATGTGTAAATGAAACCAAACTTTCCAGAGAGAGGTGGTTGTTTAATGGCCTGATTTTTCTGTCTTAGGACGTAACTTGATTGGAGAAGGAGACATCTTTCATAAATTTTTTTCTTAGCATTTCTCATAGCAAGTATTTTAACACCCAAAGTCATACATTTATTAAATTTAAAAGCAGCCATAAACAAAGTTACTTTCCCACAGTACAGACTGCTACCTGTAGATTTCTATTTCACATTGATTGACCTGAGTTTTCACCTCAGAAAACTTTATTATTATTTTATTGTTTCATCTTTATAGTGATTTGGCCATTCTGTACCTCCAATACTGAAGGAACAAGCAAAGGAGCTATAACCCCAGATGCATGAATGGCACCTGAGATTGTGTAATGATCTGAACTTTTCCTGTCTCTTCACTCTGGCAGGGGGTCCAGCGGATCAGGCAGGTCTACAGCAGTTGGACACTCTCCTGCAGCTAAATGGTCAACCAGTGGAGCAGTGGAAATGTGTAGACTTGGCCCATGCTATCAGGTAATGAATCCAACACACCAGAGGATTATGGACTGATTTATACCAAAATGTTGGAGAAACCTTTTCAAGGGCTTATTCAGGACTCAGGACCAGTGATTTGTAATGATTATCTGATCCATTCTGTATGTATCTGTATATGTATCTTGTATGATATGTATGTATGTGGCTGCCTGAAAAAGACCTGTAGTGTACAAAAAAAATTTATTTCAGAGGTTGAGATTGCCTGTAGCCAATAAGAATTCAGTTTACTATAAGATGTTGTGGAAATTACTGTAAGATCTAATTGATCAGGAGTTAACGCCATAATCTTAGTTGTATTGTTAAACCCTGTTCTTTCCTGATTGAGACACAAAGTATTTACTTAGAATTACACTCCTCCAGATTTTTTTGATCTATATTTTGATCTTTCTTTCCTCATTGTAGAAACAGCTCCAATGAAATCACAGTGGTGGTGTGGCGCACGGGCCCCTCAGCTAAGCCTAGTTTTGAGGGCCTCATCCACCGGCCCTCTTATAAGCCCTCCGCCTCAAACTATGATGCCCCCTCACCCCCTACTCGCAGGCGCGCACCAGACGTTGGCACCAGCAAAACCCCACCAGCTGTGCCGCCTCTCCCAGCCCACCACCGTGCCACTGCCACTCGCCGGCTGCTGGTCAATGGCTCCGAAGCTGGAAATAGCAGTGGAGTAGGTGTAGGGACGCTGGGGTGGGGGGCCCAGGGAGGGTCGACCGAGGAGCTGGATGGGAAACCGCGACAGCTCCACCACCCTCACACTGCCACACTGAAGGGTACCAGGGTGAAGGCATCTAACGGGGACAACTATATCATCCTTGCCCCCATCAACCCTGGAAGCCAGGTACCGCAAACTGGTGGTGGGCTGCATCTTCATCCTCTTCTTCGTCCTCCCCATCCTCACCACGGTCATATGGTGGCTCATCCTAGATATGTCTCATTACCTTACATCCCTGGCGCTGATAGATAGAAGGACTGAATACACAGTATGCCTGAGCCATTTGGGTTACTGCCATCTCGCTGATCTGTGCTTTAAGAAATATTTTGAACACACTGCTACACTACATATAGTTCAGTGCAACTTACATATGGAGTAATAGACTGAAAAGCAAGAGGAAAACAATATTATCTAATATAGCTGTTAATAATATATTGTATGCCTGTACTATGTGAAGCTTTGACAGTATTTCTTTCATTACAATCTACCAACTAAACACAGTTAATATTAGGAAAACAATGTATCTGACATCAGTTATCTTACAGATATCATATACCTGTAGAGTAGATCGATCATCTGTGTGCCATGGAGAATACACTTTAAAAACAAATAGTTGAGGCATTTAAGAAAGAGAAAAAAAATTCAACAAAAATAGTGCATTAATGTGTACTATATGAAAATGCACACTTTGACTGGTCCATTGCACAATATGCAGTTATATATGCATGTACTTATTTTTTCATCCAGTGACAATCATGTATGTGAGGTAAAAGCTTTGATCATAAAAACAAAATAAAGCAAACTCATTCAATCAAAAAGCCTGAACTGAATTCCTCAGCTAACACAACTGTAACAATCCGATACTAACCCATTAACCACCTCAGGGTAACAAACATGCTGAAACAGAAGATTCAAGATGTGGTTGAGACACTCTCCCTGTAGCAGTGCACCCAGTCTTTTAGTGATTGCAATCTAGGTTCAGCCTACAGTGTCTAAATAGTTGCTCAAGACTTCTAAAACATTTCTAACTAATTAAATCCATTTGCTGCCGTATGTAGAATTGAGTTAAATTGTCTTATTTCCTTATCTCTTTCTCTGTGTCTGACTGTAAGTCTGTCTGTTACTTGGAGCTGTTTGTGTGTGTGTTTTGTATGTGTGTCTGTGTGTGCCTCATGTAGTGTCCATCTTCATCTGTCAATGCTTCTAAGGTTTACGTTCAGTTAAGGGCCATAAGACAGCCCCAAACATAAGATGAGATTGATTTTGAAGGAAGAACAGAAGTAGATTCAGAGGAATCACAGCAGAGAAAGAAGAGTGTAGAGTGTTTCGGTTAGCCTCTGGAAAAAGATTAGAGGTACATGCCGACATTGTTAACAAATATTCCCCTTCAAACAGCCACCTCTTTTATCCCAAACAAAAGCGAAGGCAGGGATTTGGTGAGATTTTGTGGTGGCCATCGCAGGCTAAATATACCGAAAGCCCTGTGGAAATGGGTCATGTTGGTGACATATCACACAATACTCTAGTTCACAGACAAAGAGCTCTGAAAGCCCTCACTACAGAAACTATTTACCATGGTGAGCTGGCAGAAAAGCATGCTAATATGGTTTAAACAATATGTGACCATCCAACTCCTAGTTCACCTACTGTATTAATCTGAACAACATGTGATGCAGCTTTCTATCTTTACTCCCTCAGTTGATTGTAATTTGTTATGACATGTAGAAACCATCACTGCCTCGCTGAGTCCAGGGCAATTCAAATAGGCTCAGCTGAGTCCCAGACACTAAATTTGGTGTCATGCAAGAAACTACACATGATAATATCCAGCTTGATCCCTTAACACAAACCCATAACATAGCAACACAGAAAAAATAAAGTGTGGGACACAAAAATGACAACAAAATTTGATTGGGTAGGCTAAGGATACGCAGTATTTTTTATGACATTCCTTTTTCGTATATCACATCGTAGGAAGAAGGTTAAGATCGAAATTATATTTCAGCTATCAATATAGTATACATTTAGTAATAACACAAAGACATACTGTCATCTTATGTCATTGTTTTAATCGGTCTTTAATCCATTCAATACATAGTTTAAATGCCAGTTTTTATTGTGCTTAAACAAGCTTATTTAATAATGTAATTTAATATTATTGTGCTTTCAGATCTTGAGGCCTGTTTACCAAGACAACCAGGGAACATTAGGTAAGATACATACAGTGTGGTATATTCATATTCATACAACGTTTTGTTAAAGGCAACAGTGAAGAATGTTGGGTATTTTGGCAGAAAGCCTTTGCTTAAGTTGGCTTTGGTGCCTTTTATTATATTGGATGTAGTCCAATGTTAATTAGGTTTTTGACATCGCTTTTCAGGTTATTGTTATTTTAATGAGTATGATTAAATTCACTTGGCACCTTGAAATAGTCTCAAATTAAACTGACCTCAGAAGAACAGTGAATGCAAACTATGGTCTTTAGTGATACTGAAAAGAAGAACAATCAATTACCACTCACTGTGTGTTGTGTTTTTCTGGAACCTGTCAAATATACAGTAACAGCTTAAAACACCAAATATTTATGCTCTGTCTTGTCACAAACACTCTGGAGCACTTTATGCAAATACAAACAGAACAAAGGATTCTGCTTTGGTGACAGAGTGACACTGGAAACACTCACTTTTTTTTTCTTGTAGCTTAAAAGCAGCTTGAGCTACCCTTTGGTCCAGCAGTGGACCAGCTGCACTCAAAGTCATAGTTAGTCAGCTTGTCAACGCAAGTATCTGGTAAAGGTAACACAATAAACAAGGCAATAGTCTTTTCAGGTCAGGATCACCATAGATTTGCTCAGTTTACATTTTAACTACACCCAAATTGGGGACACATAGGAAGCAGGGATAACAGCTTAGGTTAGTTGATTAACAGCCAATGCACTTCTGGTGCTGACTACATAGCTAATCATGTGCAGATAGACCTCCATTACGCCAAACCCATTGAGCTCTGGAGAAATGTAAAAAAAATACTTTGGCATTTTGGGAAATATGCTTATTCGAGATAGATGAGAAAGTTGATACCACTGTCATATCCATATGCTTAATACAAAACAACAACCTGCAGCTGGTTAGGTTAGCCTAACCTTGCAAAAAGGGGGAAAGAGCTAGCCTGGCTTTGTCCTAAGGCAGTTTTTCGTTCTTACAAAGAGATATAACATGCTAATTTGTGCCCTGTAAAGGCTAGGCCAGGCTAGCTGTTTCACCGTTTGCTGTCTTTATGCTAAGCTCCATCTTCACATTAGCGTACAGATTTGAGAGTCAAAGTGTGTTTCTCAATATGCTGAATTATTTAAGATCTCTGTGAGCTTGTTGAAAGTGATTACACGCACTATAAATGTCTTCAGGAACTATATGTAACCTGCGTCTTTACCATCACATGCTTCACCTTCCTCTTTTTGTTGCATAGCTGCCAGGTTATATCCCACACGGCAGGCCTCTGGTCCACAGCCCCAGGGTGGTGGTAAGGGTGGTTTTTCTGGAGGTGTGAGTGGTGGTGGTGGTGGTGGAGGTCTCTCTAGCCGTACTGGCTTCCTGCGTCGGTCTAACAACTCCAAGACAACAAAGATGGCGTCCACCTCAACTAATGCTGGTGTACCCAACTACCAACAGCAGAATGCCAATTTTGCCAATTACCAGAACTGTACCATTGTCCGCTCACACACTCCACATGCCAACTACGGATATGTCAAAGTGGCACCAAAGATCCTTATCTTCCCCATCTTTGTTCAGGTATGCCAGTTTATCTGTATATGTGTGTGTTTTTTGTTATTGTGATTGTTGGTGGTTTTACAGTCAATCTCGGGACATCTTGAGATAATATGTTGACCTTTCCGTCTGAGAATTTTATATTTTGCAAGTCATGAAGACTCTATTTTCATACATAAAATATTTTAGATATGCAGATGTTTTTTTCCCCGTCTGTCTTTAGGTTACTGCACAAAAACTATGGCGAAACAGAGGGGGTGTTTTATAACATATGTATATATTCTTCAGAGTATGCTATTTTGAAAAACTGTTTTTTTTCTAAAGGTGGAATACTTAAAATTAATAAAAAAAATTAGGAAGCAGTGGAAAGTCATGTGTCATTGCAAAATATATGCTCTCATTTCTGTATATTATGCGCATACACTTTACAGTTGTTATACTTTACTGAATACCTTGTGGAATATATGATTAAATAACCATAGACACCCATTGTGAGATAAGATAGATGTCATATAATATTTGTACCTACTATTTAAAGCACTGGTGGTATCTCGGGGTCTTTTAGCCATTTACGCTTTCACAAGACAGGAACTTTGGTTGTATTTCCTGTTAATTCACGCAGAGTGTGCAACCCTGACCCTACTTCACAAAGTATGCAAATGTTAAGTATTCACACATACCGAATTTGGCCCTCTAACACATATTGGACTTGTGAGGAAGTCCCCTCCTTCCATGTTGCCGCATTAGTTAATTTTAAGTGTCATTGTCTTGTCATACACAGACCACACATACTGCCTCGCAGTTGCAGCTCACTTTCTGTCTTCACAGAATCAGTTTCACTTGTGTTTCACACAGTAAAGTGAGGGCTTGCTGTTTAGCCGGTCATTTGGATTTGGGAAGCAAAATGGATTTGGTACTGAACCTTATGTTTTGTATAACTAATATCTAACAAACTCAATATTGTATTCTTGACTTTTATTTTTAGAAACTGTTAAAGTATGTTCTCGCTTTGTTAGGCCAAGAATAATATGAGCAAAATGAGCCTCAAAGTGATGTCCAAAAATGTTGTGTCCTAATCTGTCTGTGTAATATGTTGTTGTTCAGCCTCTCGACCTGTGCAGCCGAGCTCTCATCATATCTGAGGAGATGATATTACATGAGAGCAAGCACCACTCTCTCAAGGTAAGTGGCGTCAGTGCTTTAATGATATTAGTATGTTGAGGCAAGAGAAGATGTGATTTTCTCTTTGCTTTGATGCAGAAAGAGTGCGGCCCTCTCCTCTCCTCTTAAGATTGCAGGAGACAGACAAACTAGTGGCAAACATTTTGTTGCTTTGTCACAACCAGTTATGTGGTTTGTTTATTTGGCCAAAGTGAAAGCGACGGTCTATTGCCCCAGTGCGCATCTTAAGTCAAAACGTATGTGTGTTTTAGACTTATGAATGTATATAGAAAGGGAGACCAAGTAGAGAGCAACATCCCGAGAGAAGGAATGTGAGAGAAGTTGTCTGAACATCTCTGAAGAATTTGTAACTAGTCTAAAGTATCAGGCCCACATCAGTGTGTGTGTGGGGGGCGGGGAGACTGTAGCTCCTTTAGTATATATTCATGATCCTTTCACAATATTTTAAGCTCAACTTACAATAATATTCTGCACTATAAAGGTATCTTGTACAGTATATTATTAGTAAAGTTTGGAAATACAGATTTTTATTCTGTAACAGGTGTTTTAATGTTGTCAGTGCCAAACCCCCCCAATACAAATACACTATACTGCCAGGGCATTAAAAGAAATAGCAATGTGCTTGTAGGGTTTAACATGTAAGACATTATGCTGCAAAGAAAGTACTGTACACCAGAACCAGGTCTGCTAATGTAATTCTATATCTTAGATATTGTGATAAATTTATGTTAGCCAAGTTCAAGTAGAATAAGTGACTGTTACTCAAGTTAATATCGGCTACTGTGCCACATTAATCCCCCAATATTTACTCTGCAAATATTTGCATTACCTTGATAAGTGTCCAAGTATATTTTCCCTAGAAGAAGTTTTTATGTTTGGGCAGAAGAATTAATTGCAGCCAAATGATGTACATCCAGATGTAATGGCCTGCAAAAACTTAAAAAAAAGATAAATTATGGTTACCATATGATTGTTTCTGAAATTTAAGCTTTTGCCAGTCACTGTTTCGATTGAGGGAATCCGGTCTGAGGTGTCATTGCTATGATGTTCTTCAGAAGAAACATGTTAACAAGAAGAAAAGAAAAGGAGGAGGAAAGAGTATTGTTTTATTGAATTGATCTCGTGCCACCGTTCTTTAATTTGGCCTGTAAGATAATCTTTGCAGTGCGGTGCAGTGTAGTGGCTGCTGGCGTGGAAGGTAATTCTGGCCTCCCTCTGGGGTCATTCATAAAACAAATATTTAACAGCCAGTGTTTGTCAGGAGGGAGTTTCTGTCCACTCAGCCACTTTATGCAGGCTGTTTTAATGATCAGTCAGTGTTGTTCCGGCTTTTACTCTTTACTCACCAGATTTTCTGTTAAATCTGCGCGGGAGGCAAACACACAAACTCTATTGTTCACACAAACACGTACCACTTTCATGATAATATCTGAACACAAATAATAAGTACAGCTTTCCACACATTTGTGCAACTTTATTCAAATAAAGAAATCAATTTACACTTATGGAATCTGCTAATTATATGAGTCGTATAGCGTGTATTGGTGCTTTATGAGCCTGCTGTATATTATATCTAAATATTATTGTATTTATAGGATATATATAGGATACATAAAGTAATTATGTTGAAATAGTTTAGGTAACCGATACATTGTTTAGCCTTGATTAATCTCAATTAGAGAAATTGTTGATTGTGTGACTTAAGCTTGGATGGACATAAAATTGTTCCTTAAAATCCTTAAAGAAAGAGAATCACTGAGAGACAGAGTGGGAATTAAAAAGGTTTTTTGTAGATGTAGTGCATTTGAACAGCGTGCATTTGTGTGTGTGTTTCCCTGCTTGCTGCTTTGCCCTTGTACTTCACTCTTACTTACATCCTCTTCCACCCACTCAAACCAACACATGCATGCACGGACACACACACACTCTCACACCCACACACTCTAACCACATACTGGCTACATTTGAAATACCCTTGCTGCTAGCTCATCCTTCAGAGGAAGCCACCAAAGCAAAAGCATTGTCTTGAAATAGTGCCCATCTGCACGAATTACACTCTATGCCTGTAATGTTGCATGAAAGCGCAAACTCACATAAGCAACTTTCATGCATACATCTTGGCTCTTGTTTCTTTTTTATCATCTACTTCTTTCTCTTCATTCCTTTGTTCTTTTCTTCAGTAACATTCATTTTATTGCTTCACTAGCCTAACCTTTCTCACTTAGCCACAGCAGAAGCAGAACTCCTGATCATGGGCTGTCGTGACATGTTGCAAAACTCTTGGTCAAATCCCCAAAGTAACAATCCGAAGTTTGTGTATGTAATTAGGTTTTGGCTGCTATAAAGCAATTCCTCACATCCAGCCATTTTATCCACATGAGCAGTAAATAATCATAAATTATTTTTCTTGGGCTATGATGAGGATACTTGGGGTACAATGGATGTGTCTAGAATTTGAAGGAAATGTGGGAAAATGCATCGCCAGGGCAACAACAACACATTCAATTATCAAAATTCAAGCCAGCTGTTGTAGCATAATGAATTGTAAGCCAAAAAGTATTTTCAGACCTTCTTGGAAGCAAAGTGAGTTTGGTGTCCTATAATTGAGCATCTTTGTCCCAAGTAATTACAGTAAAATGTGCTACTTCACAGTCATTTTGTTAAAAAGCCATTGAATGCCCTGAGCAATTAAAATGTCAGAAAGCACAGGGTTAACATCCAGCGGGCAAAAAAGCAAGACCTGCTAAGATGTATGGTTTTGTGTGAAATGCATTTCCTGTGCTAGGACATAAGGTGGAGGGGAAAGCTTTTATAGGGGAGAGACTTGTTGAGCCTGTATGTGCATCACGCTGCATTGCAGATGTGTGTTTCCGTGATGTGATTACTTAAAGGTGTGAAGACCTGATGAGACCATGAGAGATTGAAGTATGAAATAAAATGTTTCTTTTTCACCCTTCTTGCCTCCCTTTAAAACTCCCCCCTCCCCCTTTCATCCTTTTTTCTAAATGTACTGTTCCTCTCTCTTTTTTTTTTTTAAACTTCTTACTCCATCTCTGCCCTTCTGATCTTGTAGGTTACAGTGTTTGTCTACAGTGACCTGATGCTGGTGACAAGAGAAAATGAGCCAGGCAGGTGTAACGTCCTTCAGAGTCCCCTGTACCTCAGACAGCTGAGGCTCCAGGATGGTATGTATGTGTTAACGCACACATGTCACCAAACTGCGTGATATCCTGGATTTGTCCAACTATATATATTTCAAAATTGACAGGAAAAGTATAGGAATCATCATTTGCTTTGTAACTTTGCAGACATGAGGGCATTTGAGTCCAAAAAGTCCAAAAGGAGCAAATTGCAAAACTTGCAATTTTTAATCACATCTCCGAACAGGCTTTTCTGTATGTTACCATGTAAAACCATGTTTGATCTTCTATAGCGCTACATAAAATAAAAAGGGAAATTTAACACTTTTGACAAAAAATGTATTAGAAATAAACATACAGTTTTATGATTACAGTGATATTTTCAGTTGTGCTTAATCAGGGGATATTTAGGGAAAGGCTGCCCAATTCCTGTTGCTTTGTCTTTTTATTTCACCTTGGTGTAAACAACCATCTCCTCCAGCAATATGGAGAGAATAGTTTGGCCATCAGGGCTGCACAGAGCTCGGGCAAGTCAAATAAATAAGGCTCACTGTAAATATCTGTGACTAGGGTGGTGGGTGGAGACAGGGGCAACGTTTGGAGTCATGCATAGGTCAGGACCAGGGGAGAGAGGGTACACTTCCCACAATGCAGAAAATTGTGCGTGGGTAAGAAACAGTAATAAGTGACTCACTTATCACACTTCAAGCTGACTATATTGGATGTTCGGTCAGTGGATCATTATGCTGAGCAGGATATAAACCAGAAAAACAAGTGTCATATTATCCGAAATTGTGCATCAGTGTCAAATAAATAAATAGGACTTATCAGTAGAGTAGTAGCATCAGGATTATGGGATTGATTTAGCAGGAGAACAGGTGTTAAAAGGATGTTGTTGAGATGAGATTGTCTGTATTCGATCCCCCTGAATAATGACTATACTATACTATAATGGCGGTGTAGTGTTCAGAGTCGGTCTGAGAGTAAGGGGGGAAAACAGTGGCTCTGAGATCACCAGATCGGAGGCATTCACTTCGAGCAAATGAAGGCTGTTTTGAGTGATTAATAGGGCTGGGCCTAACCCTCAGTGGATAAAGCCCCCTGCCGGTGTCAGTGTAGCGTCACATAGCCTTTCGCCCCTGGCTGCACCATTGCAGGAGATACATGTGCAGGATCCCACTACCATTCTGCACATAACTCACTGGTGTTTTTACTAAATAATGCACTGAGGGAAATCAATGTTAATGTTTTGGCACCTGCTTTTGATTAAGTTTTGGTCTTTTGATGAAAAAAAAAAATTCTTTTAGGAATATTGGATTGCAGGCCTGCTTGTTTTAATGGTTTGTTGTAGCTTCTTGTTTAATTTTCAGTGAGACTTGCATTTAGTTCAACTTCTGTCAAAGAGAGAGTCTTGTTTTTGAGGTCAGGAGCATACTCCTGCATACAGGTCTTTAAATAAGACTGCTACTTTAACATTTATCAAGTTTTTGTTTGTTGATGAAAGTTGAAATATCTTTCATCAAAGTTTTGGTCGTCATAGGTTATTTTTTATTTTGTTGTTTTTAAGTTGTTTATAAATATTTTTCCAGTTTTCCAAATGTTATTATAATGAACATTTTCCGCATGGCTGACTCTATATTTACATATTTTCAGTTGATAAGGTTATTGTCAAAGTTCTGCAATATTACTTTATGTGGCTTGTAAGCATACAGTATCTGCTGAGCCAGTGCGGCCAGCTACAAGTGTTTTGCATAATTAGAATGAACAGAATTGTCAATTAGAGTTATTAATTGCATATATAGACCATGAATATGAAAAAAACATTCACTTTGCAGCTGAGGTTGACACAATGAAGGACTGTGTTGAGGAAAACGTCCAGTGAACACTCCATGCAAGCGTTTCTTAATTCAAATTATAGCACCCTAACACAGGGTGGCCTGAGCTCCTCTGTCACAAACAGCTCTGGTCTCATCTCGGCCACTTCTGACCTCCACCCTTCACCCAAACAATTGGAGATCACCAGGGTGGAGATTCAGTAGTGTTTGCGTGCGTGCGTGTGTGTGGGTGTTTCATGAGAGGACACCCACACACAGACACACATCTCCACCCTGCTGCCTGTCATTGTTATTTCGCTTCAGCAGCGTCACTCAGGAAAGAGGCGCCGGGGGATTGTGTTTGTTTCAGCCAGGGCGTGTTTGACGTGTGTGTGTGTGTGTGTACGTGTGTGCATGTAATGACACAGAACAAGTTCAATACAGGGGCTTTCCTGTGTTCCTGTCACCCCGATACTAGGCTGAGGACCGTGGGAAAACACTGAGAGCGCTATTAAACACACATAAAACCAAAATGACCATGCGTCAGTCCAAACATTATCATCAAACTAAACAAAGTAAGACAACATCATCCACCTGGCCATCTACATGATCGTATAAAGCCTTTTGACAGCTGCTGCACCATTGTTAAAAGAAAAATGACTCAACACTGCGACACAAAATGTTAAAATGGGGAGAGATCAATCAATTAACTGCAGTGCAAGAAGCACTTTTTTGGTATTGTCCTTCAGTGGGATAGGAAGTTAATTTGAGTGACAGTAAAACACTGAAATTACTACATCTCTGACATACCAGTAAGTCAGTAAGTAAAAAGTTGAGATTTTAACTTTTTAGAGCAAATATATCAACATGTCTTTATAAAGACATGGAAAGGGTTTTGATAGTTTTCTCGACCTATAGAGAATAATACTATTCTTTAATTTAAACTAAAAACATTGTAAAATAGGTGAGTTATCACATGACTTCATCCTCATACAGTACTATATGTATGACAACATTCTGCTGTCTTTTTGGAAACAGAATGATATCCAACAGTGACCTCTACTGTTGGATATAAGAAGAAACACATGCAGCACTTCACATGGGCCCTGTTGTTCCTACATCACACACTGACCATCACCGCTCCTGCACCCAACATCCTTAAGGTGGCGTTGGTCTGTTACTCTGCTCAACACTGCAGGCTGCGTTAGTTTACAGACCTCATATTGGAGACATTCAGTAAGCTGCGGACTTCCGCTGCAGTAGGGTTAGAACAGTGATGGTTATTTCACATGATTTTATTTCTGTATTGTTTTTGTCTGTGAGCTTCACTCTGGTTTAAAGTGGGTGGGGTTCATTTAGAAAAAGATGATGCCACACACTTCTTTGCACCATTTAGCAGCCTTCTTTACTTTGATTGTTGCTTATTTAGATATGGATATTTAATAGAAATAAAGAAATATTTAGGATTTGGACCATCTTGTACTAACTAGTGCCCTGGAAATTGTGAGGTTCATGGAGATTAGATTTCTCTCTAGATAGATGGATAGATTGATAGATGGATAGATGAATAAACATCACCACAACATATATAGATTGCGTGGGTGTATGTTTGAGGGTCACCAATTAAAACCATTTATCTTGGCTCCAGACCCACAGGCCTGTCTCACAGAGTGCTACTTCTGTGAATTATGGGTGGATGTCTCTAAGACTGACCGAAAGTAAAAGCCTTCCATCAATAAAAGTATTTTGGCAAAATCATAATCAGAAATCAATGATGCTGCATTATGTAAAAGAAGGAAGGAAGGGAGTGAGTGAAAATTAAACAGCGGAAAGAAGGTTGGGTCTTTGGCAGGAAGGAAAGAAATAAATAAAATTAATTTCTCTGTTACTTTGTCTTACAGATTATGCTGAAGAGCTGAGATTCTACCTTATTCACATGACCGAGGTAAGAGAAAGGATTTTGTGTGTCTGTGTGTGTTTGAAGGAAAAGGAGAGGGACAGAAAGAGGGAAAAGAAGGGTCTAATGTGAACAGCCTATTTCGTCTGTGAGCCAGAGGGGCAATTGACTCCGGTGGAAATCACATTACAGGGAAGACAGAAGGATTAGCAGAAAGCTCTAATGAAAATGTCTTTTCTCTGTGCGTCTTTCTCAGATCAGACTCCATCTCAGACCTGTATCTGTCACACACACAACAGCATTTGTTTTTGAATTTTTAATATACTGAAGGAAATTCTGAAACACCCACTATAAAGATGTTTGACCTAGCTAGGGACCTAGATGCACCATAAAGACATCATTTGGTTTGTAAATAAGGCTGCGTAATATAGGTTGCTCCTAGTAGTATTCAGTATAAAATAATATCCACGTGTTCAAATATGATGCATCTATTTACATTGTGGTTTGTTTAGACAATCAGTGTTATTGTGAAAAACAGTCATCCATCCATCTGCTGTAATACCTCTCAGGTTGTTGTTTTTAAGATGAAAGGGAAAGGCATAATTGTTAATATTTCATTGCTGTGTTCACTAATTATTCAATACTGGGGAACTGAAATGACACTATAAAGACTAACATTTTCCATTGTTCAGCGGTATGAAAAAATATATGGCCACAACAGAATTCTAATGGTGGTCTTAGCAAATGAAATTCACAAACAGCAAAAAGGATATTGTTCCCTTAAAAATGCCAAAACCACTAAAATATGATATTGACCAAGATGTTGTTTGAGACATTTAACTCCATGAATAACCGCATGTGTTAAAACAGTTGCAAAAGGACAATTCTCTGTTTCTGCTTTTGGGAGTGAGGATTTGGTGAATTTCTTACTTCAGAGCAGCTCCACGTAATTTGTTTTAAAATCGCTCAAAATATCAGTGGGATTCTACATCACTGCCTGTCCTCCCAGTAGCCCTTACGATATTTATATTATAGTTGATATCTCTGTTTTCAGTTTTCAAAAACAGACAGAAACAAGGAGGATGTGATAGTTATTTGACAGATACTCTGATGAGATTTGATAGTTTTGGAGCCTATTTGGCTGTTTTCCAGTCTTTAAATTTTCTTTGGTCCTCCTGGCAGCTCTGCTGTAGTTAACGAGCATGTTTGCAGGTGGCTCTCCCCATCTCTTCAGCTGCCCCTCCCTTTCCACTGCTGCACTCCATGCCCATGTGATTGCATTAACAGGAAGTGTGCAGATAGGGAACAACAGAAACGATAGGGTTTCATCACCATGTTGCCATACATCACTTGTACTTGTTGCTTTCTTCCACCTTCTCACATCTTCTCTCCCTCTTCATCTGTCACACATCTCCCAAGCTGTTGTATTGTATTTTTCTTGTTGTATCCAACTGTAACAGCCGCTACACTCTCTCTGGAGCCACTTCACAGATGTTTACCCCAATCTTATCATGTAAATGTTTAGAAGGCATGTAAAAAATTAAGAATCCATGTTCTCATATGGAGTGAAACTTTCTCAGTCTGGATTGCCACATTAAGGAGTGTGCTGCAACACTAGCAGGCTGAGGTGGACAAAAAATAATCAGATCTTGAGCATCCATTAAAATATGTTCGACCTTGATACACATTATGAGCAATGGCTCCGGACATCCTTCATTTTGGACAAATGTCAGTCTATAGCCTCCTTGGTACTTGACACTGAAAGCCATGACAATGAACTGTACAACTGCCAACTCAAAATACATATCTTGTGAATCCATGAAACGTAGCTTATCCATTTCTTGCCTGAACAAATTGAGTAAGACAACCTTTATTTTTTCAAAAGCATTTAATGAAACTTGGGCTTTTCAACAGTCCTCACCTAAACTGATGATTGAATGTCTCCGAAGTGTTTTAAAATGTAAGCTGAAGAGACTGGATAGCTGAAGGGACTATTTTCCCTTTTCTTTTTACTGTGACTCTTCTGCAATTTGTCACAGCTGCAAATGTCTGCTCATATGGATAATCTTTTCACCGAGCAAATATATAAACCCCAACTCTCCTGCAGCAGACACACACACACACACACACACACACACACTCACTCATACATATCGTCACACTATTTTTTGCTTTGAAATGTGCTGCATAACCTCATTAGCAGCTTATGAATCTTTTAGGGGCCCTTTTTTCAGAAATTCCAGACAGAATGAGAGGGCCCTGATATCTGTCCCGCAGGCTGGAAAAGAGGAAGGAAAAGGCTCCAATATTATTCAGTCTATCCAATTAGGCAACATTTATAAATAGAAACTCTTATGTAAGATGGCATGGGAGAGAAAGAAAAAGTTTGAATGTGTTAAAGGTTGGAATGGTTGTATCAACTCTTGCATTGTGCAGTAGCTTTCCTTATGTTTTCATAATTCTTCTTTCTCCAATGTTGTAATGTTTCTTATTGAATTGTTTATATTGTATACTTATTTTTGTTTTCTCGGCAGCCCTTTGTACGTTGTAGCTTAAAAAATGTCATATAAATACCACGTATGAACAAGTAACTCTGACATTTACAGGTCACAGTCATGGCTGAAGGGACCACTGACAGTTTGATTCCTTAGTCTTTAAAAGAGTTATTGATTTTCTTGCAAAACAGTAAGCTGAGGCAGCCTTGCAAGGATGCTCCCAATATACTATAACCACTGCACTATATATGACAGACGACAGACAAGAAGACAGAGACAGTTAGAGAAGCAACAAAGAGATTGTGTGTGCGTGCACTTGTTTCCTGTTATGATTTACTTGACTCAGCCTTCTATCCTCTCTCTCAGACTCATTCCTGCATCCGTCCTGTCAAATGCCCCCACACGCACACACACACACACACACACACACACACACACACACACACACACACACACACACACACACACACATAAAATGTGGAGTCAGGGTACTTTTAGATCTAAAATATCATTTCTCATAAACTACTTTCCTTTTTGCTATAAAGTTTACAAATATTCTGATAAATGATCAAATATCAGTGAAGGGACTCTCTTCTCTCTGTAATTCAGGTACCCTTAAAGTTAGCACAAGCAGCTGCTAAACTACTGTAGTGCTTATTTATCTCAATAAGTGATGACAGACTCGTCCTCTGGTCCTGCCGGTAGGGCAAACTGCTGTGTGATGTGGAGGAACATGTGAGGTGAATGGAGAGAGGGATGAAAGAAAAAGAGAAGGAAATATATCAAAGGAGACTGGAACATCTACAAAGGTCTAGCTAGACTTTTGAGCTTATATGATCAGAGTGTTTACTCAAATTGGAGATGTGTGTTATGTGATAGGCTCTAATTCAATTGCTCTTTCTGGCCTGTCTGTGCAAAGGTCAAACACATGCACACACTCAAATAGAGAGCGAGAGAGAGTAATAGAGGACACCATCGTATTGGTCACTGCATGTTTTTAATTAAAGGTTGCATTGCTATGCCTATTGCTGACGGATCCCCCTTTCTTTTAATACATACACTGTTCCCTCCTTGTAACAACTATAACAGAATGCACAGACATATATAATGAAACCTGAATGAACCAGTGTGACGAGGAGTAATGCTTTTGCTTATTCTTATTTTATGTATTGGTTTAGAGGGGATTATTCTTACTGGTTCCATACCAGTTTTATTCTTTGTTTGCTTTTCTGTGTGCACACACATTATTATTTTATATTAAGCGTGATCTATCTATCTATACTATACTCATATCTGGCCTAAGATCTGTGTCACAGAAAATGATGGACATGCCTAAAAGTAATGATTGTATTGTATGTACTGTATTTATGTTATATACTATACATTTGATGGTCTACGAAATTCAAAAAAGAAAAAGCACACACACACACACAAACACACACATCTACACAAAACATATACTGTACATCAAACGTCTGTGACTCAGGAGGTAGAGCGGGTTGCCCGTTAAGTCAACGGTTCAATCCCCGGCTCGTCCAGGCTGCGTGTCGAAGTGTCCTTGGGCAAGATACTGAACCCCGAATTGCCGTTGGTGGCTACTCCACCAGTGTGTGAATGTTTTTGTTTGAGCACTTAGGCTTAGTGTGTGAATGGTGAATACGATGCAGTGTAAAAGCGCTTTGAGTGGTCGCAAAGACTCAAAAGGCGCTATACAAATACAGAGCATTTACATTTAAATATAATACATTAACACATGCTCAAGTAGAAATCCATGTAGACCACAATTGTAAATTTGCACTGATTCAGAAGGGACCATAAAGTGACATATTTGGCACCTACATTTCACCACATACAGCTTTTCCCAACTGACTCGCTCATCAGGAAACAGATCTCCTCACCATAGGGAACCACTGTATCTCCTAACATCATCAAATACAAAGTCAGGATGAGTCTCTCAAAATCCCATCTCATCCATTTTAGTTTATTCAGGATTGTTTACCGTCCATTTTGAAGTGAACTGTCTCTTTGCACGGTGAAGTTTTCTTTCAGTTGCATGAACGATGTTAGCATAGGTAAAAGCACTTTCATTCTGCAGAAGTAAGAAACCTATCTTCCTTTCTCCTAAAGTTGTAAGCAATTATACAATTTCAGTCTTCTCCTCCACTAAAGCTCTCCCTCTCTGACACTGTCACAGTCCGTCCTCCTCCTGCAGTCTACTCCTGGAGTCTACTCCTGCCTTTCTCCTCCATCACTGGAGGTCATCCTATTTTAGCACATGCTTAAAACGGAACTGATCTAACCTAGATTTAAGGAGTGTGCGTGTGTGTGTACGTGTGTTTGTGTGTGTGTGGCAATGACGGTGGTGGTGGGGGGTTGCAGTTGTGTCTCTGGAAAGTCAAGTGTGTGTCGTGTGTGTGTGTTAAGTGTGTCAGTGACGCAGGAAGATAGGAAGCAAAGATACGTTGCGCAGGTAAGCGAAAAACATAGAGAGACGGGTAGAGACACTGTAAGAGATTATTGACCAGCGGGGAGCATCAGGGTCATCACAGAGTC